GTCTAGCTCAAATGGTACACCCTTCAGTCAAACGGTCCTGACTGTGCCTTCCGGTCTGGGTCCGAGGGTTGGGTCACAGTTGACGGATAAGGGAATGGCGTATATAACAGAGACCCACCGGTTCTAATCGTCGGCGATGTGCCCAATGGATATGGCATCGGTCTACGGAACCGGGAATCCTGGGTTCAAGTCACAGCGTTGTCTGAGGATGGAGAACACCGCAGAGCGAGGCTTCCAGGCATGTCCGCTGTAGTCTAGGTGGCTAGGATATACGGCGCGCACCCGTACGACCCGGGTTGGAAACCCCCGTGTGTGCGCAACGCCGAGGCCCCGCTCGCACGTTTCTCGAACACACACCGGTCTGCGAAGCCATGAAATGTGCGGCTGTCGCCCGTACGACCCTGATTCGAATCCCAACAGCGAATGTGCGCGCAACGCAGAGACCACTCACCCAAGGAGCTCAGCTTTTGCTGGATGAGTTGGACCGGGTGCAAGGGTGCAATGCACAGTACCTCCTAGGGCGCACGCAGAATTGAACCACGAATTTGCTGATGGCAGTCAGTCCCTTTGCCCCTGACATACACACCCAGCTGACTCAGACAGCAGGGCTCAGGTGTCACACGGACCTATGACATCCAGTACTCTACCTGTACGGGCGGACCGGCAGCAGCTGTCAGACCACAGGTCGGAAAAGACCGAGACGCCCTTCGTCCGATTGCCGGCGGGCTAGATGCATCCTGGCTTTCCAGAAAGGCGTTGGCTCGTCTGCTCCAGGAGGGAGTCGAACCCTCGACTTTCGGCACATAAGCCCGACGCTCTAACCAACTAAGCTACCGGAGCCAAACAAGTGACAACGAACTAAAATATCTGCGACAATGGCTCGAGTCCCACTCCACCAAAAACTCCCGAGGGTGCCAGACACAAAGATGGGCGTTAGGCAGTTGGCAGTTCGGTGTAGTGGTTCGATTCTTCCATTAGGGTGCAAGAAGTCTTGGGTTCGAGTCCGAAAACAGCCAGCCAACAACGTAGCCTAAAAACTGGGTGACGTCGTTCAGGTTTCCCAATTGACAGCAAAGCACATCAATCTAGGCGACTGAAATTCACGACTATCGCTATGCGGGTTTATCAACCGGAACCCGGTGCATCCCGGATTCGCCAGGCAGGAGGACTGCAACTGTAACTGCAACCCACATCCAGATCTTTATTGAAACCTCGCACTTGCGCCGGAGGTGACGGGAAATTCGAGCACGCCCATGCCGGGTATTTCCCAAAACCGTGAAAGATTGGAGTCCAGGGGAAACACTACCAAGGTCGGATCTGGAGGGAACCTGGTCCGACAGCTACCGATCCGACCCAGAAAGAGAGCACCAACAGCCGATTAGAATGCCTCCGT